AAATAATTAGAATGTATATATAAATAATTTATAAAATAGTTAATAAATGTTGTAGTGGGGACCACTTTTGAAAGTGTAGGTGACGTGGCACAGTTGAAAGTGTTGTAGGTGAATTGCAGGTGTGTGGAAGATAATTGCAAAAGCTGATGTGGCACAATTGAAAGTGTAAATGAATTGCAGGGATGTAGATGGTCTAAAAACAACTTATTGACTTACTCCGATGTGACACTGTAATAAGCTCTTTTGAGTGTTTATATAAATAGCTTACAACAGTGTCAAACCGGTAACAAATAATTTTTGAAGAAATTAAACTATTATAACTTAGAATAAGTTGATAAAGACTTTTATAGAAAAAAAAAATTGTTTCAGATAAGCAATCCCAAACACCCCTATTTTCGTTATTTTTTTTAACAGCAAAAAGAAAGAATGTAAGGAAGAGAGCTTCGACTCGACCATCACCCCCTCCAAACACCCCCTATTTTCGTTATTGCTTAACCTAATAATAATAAAAGAAGAATCGGGATGTCGGCTCATTTGGTAATTGGTGGGCAACTTATATACCAAACCTTATCCATTTTTCAGTAGAGTTATTTATTTCTGATTAATTATTTATTTTCTAGAATTCTTTTTAAAACTATTCTATTTTTTAATTATTTATTTGAGCTATTTTTATTAAATAAACACGTAAATATATTATTAAAATTGAAAAGTTTTTTTATAATTTTTTTGTTAGTTTAATAATATAAATATTTATTTTAAATTTAAAAATTGAATAATTTTAGCTAAGAGATTTTAAATTCAGATAAACTTGTTCAAAGAGGTACACTTTCGTTGAATAAATCTAAATTATTTGAATATTGAATTTGTATCAAATAAATTCCAATAAGAACGACATTAAAAATGTTTTTTAATAAAATAACCTAAAATTTTGTATATTTTTTTACAAGTGATTGAGTAATTAATCCATATATTAACGGTGACGGTGCAAAAGTCGAAAACCGCAATCTAAATATGTACTCGAGATAGAAATATCAATTCACGATCGACAACTGACAAAGGATTTAAAAAGAATAAGTATCACACAAAAACGTAACTTCAATATCGAGATGACCAACAACTTACAAAAAGTCATGAAAACAAAACGTTGGATAAAAGCATACCACATAAATAAACTAAATAATCATACATCCAAATGCTTAAACCTTTCAGATTCCAATTCATTTGACAGATTCCCTTCATTCAAAAATTATTCTGCAAACCAAACGCCCCCCTAATGGTCCGTTTGGTTTGCAGGACTTTGAGGAATTTGGATTTTTTTGGAGGAATTTGGCTTAGAATGAATTTGAAATCATAGATGTGGTTGGTTTGTAGGATTTGGAATGAAATTGAATTTCATTATTTATAAATAATTTAATAGAAAAAATTATAAATAATTATAAAAATAATTGAATTACATTTTTATAAATCGATTATTACAAAACAAATGTTTTTAACATTTTTTAAAACCTTATTACATACAATATTTGAAGCAAACAATATTGTGGATAATAACATAACTATGAGTGAGTAGAGGATAATTATAAAATCTTTCCAGTTATGTGTTTTCCAAAAACACCCAAACAAGAGCTACACAGCTGAACCTCATCGTTGCAGGGAACGTGAACTGAAAGACGAACGATTTAAACCACAAAAATGGTGTCTCATTGGTTTGAGCTTGACTTCAAAGGTCAAAAGTACATGGATGTCTCAGATTCAAATCCAATGAGAAATAAAAATCCCCTTGTGGCCACGGAGGTTCAAATGCGATGATTCTGGGCTATCTGCAAAACATGCGGTCGTCCTGGGATTAGTCGGCTCGCATAACGAGTTGAATATCCAGGTTAATAAAAAAAAGACAAAACAATTTATCTGATAATTTTAATCACTTTTTTTCAATTTTTTATAAATACAAAACCGGCACATAAATTAATAAATGAAGCAATAATTAAAAAAGACTGGAGAATATTTGAGAAAATAATTTAGAAGAAATTATTAATTTTATATTAAATATTTTTTTAATAATAAAATATTTTGTATTTTGACTTATGGTTTTGGTCTATGAAAGAAGGAAAGGCGTGTAAAATGATGAGGAGTTCACATGCTACGCAGCCCAACATAAGAACATGGGGATGAAGACAGAAACAAACGGACGTCAAATTCGACGTTCGGCCACTGTCTTTTCCGTGGCACGTTAATTTAAATTTGAAGCCCACAAATTTGCCGTTAATGGCAGTATTGTAATTTTCTGAACGTGAGGGTCCGATTATTGAATGGATAGTCTACGGCATATCCGTTACCTGGACTGCGGAACGACGGAGGCGTGTAAAAGAATGGACTTTTGGTCCTCCCATGCTACCATTAATATCCGGATTGTCTCCTTTAATTTCATTTTTAAAATTTAATTAAAATAATTAAAACAAAATGAATAATATATTAAAAATGCCCTAATTTTTATGCCAAACAAAAGATTTCATCACCATTTTGGTTAGTTTTAATGAAAATATTTAACGTTCGACATTCTCTTACATATTTTTAATATTTTAGTGACAGTTCGATAATTTTTTGCACCATATTAAAAATGGAATACCACAATGAAACATTATTTACAAACCCGACACAAAGTACGTTCCCATCAAGTCTAGTTGCTACTATCGAATCTCATTCAAAAGTGTAACAAAAAACATGTCTAACAACAAACATGCATCTCCTATTTACGGGACCCTATTCAAAACCATCGTTAAACTCATTTTTTAAATCTTTTAGTTCAAACTTGCAATAAAGGAGAAAAACTATTCTAAACTGTCCTATTGCTTCTAGAATAAACAACTACTATTCGTAATAATCCCTAACAATCGATCGTTGTTTAATAAAACAAAGTTTTCTATAATTTATGTATATTATATGAAGTCATTATGTATTTATTAATTCATGTACACATACAATCACTTTTTCACAAACACAATAATTTGAACAAACTTATAAATCCATTTTCATGTATTTGATACAGTACAAGAAAAAAATATAGTATTTATACATTTTTTTCATACACAAAACAACCATAAACGTTTTATATATTAAACAGCACTACATTTTTCATACATAAAACACTATATGAAACTTGGTTTATAATTTTATACAGTTTGTTGAGCTTATAAATATTTAACAATACGAGGTTTAATTAAATTATCATTGGTCTAAAATAAGTGGTAAAAAGCTACAAAATACATAGATATGTATGTTATATTAATATAAATGTAAAATGCATAAAACAAAATGAGGCATGAAGTCAACCTTCCGAATGGCAATAAAGAAAATACAATGAATGCCATTTTTTTCCATGCATGAACCATGAGGAATGTTCCTCGTGGGAAAGCTTCGTTGATCGGACGTAGAAAACGTGACCCGACCCGGTTAGACCAAACCAAGATTAGGTAACATTATCCGTTTGTGGATAAGCATCATGTGTATTCCTTTTCTCCTTCCATCCGTAAGTTTCAATAACAAACATACCATCCCAAATAAATATCATTTAAAAAAATACATAATTATTATATTTTAATTTATAAAAGACTTGCTTTTTTTAAAAAGTTCTACAGTTTATAATTAAAGAGATAAAAAAACAGACATTTAATTTCGAAATGGGAATTATTTTAACACGAAAAGCAATATAAAAAATATAATTTAGGAAATAATAAAAATTATTATTTATTGTGGAAAATTAAAAAGTAATATATTTTCAACACTGCAGCGACTTTGAAATTCCATGTTCCTCGTTTTTACACGCGTTCTTTCCATCTGTTCATCACCCATATCCTTTAAACACAACCCTTTGCCCTTATAAATACGTTATTCTGACTACAACTTCATTCCAAACAAAAATTCAATTACCTGGTTGTCATTTCGTATTCCAAGTTCAGCACAGATTCAGAAGATGGTTGATATGGATTGTAAAGCAAAGATTGTACCTTCAGATAGTATGCCCAGCAGATCACCAAGGCCTTCGAATTCGTCTTCTAACAAACTTACTGTTTTGGTTCCACCACCCCCAGTTCGGGTTCTTGATTTGTCACCGGCCTCGGACGCTGCTTGCGTTGCATATGACCATTACTTACGGCTTCCACAAATTAGGCAGTTTTGGAACAAGGAGGAGTTTCCGGGGTGGAAAAATGAGGCTGTATTGAAACCGGCGTTGCAAGCTTTGGAGTTTACGTTTCGGTTTGTGTCCATCGTGTTGTCGGATCCCAGACCGTATGCGAATCGACGGGAGTGGAGGCGGAGGTTGGAGTCTTTGACGACGAGTCAGATTGAGCTTATTTCTCTGTTTTGCGAGGATGAGGATATAGGAACGGCGCCGATTGGTAATATCGGCGAAAGCGGAGGCGTTTTGAAGCGGGAGGGAAGCTCGGCGGAGGTGTGGAAGCTTCACGAAGGCGGAGATGCGACTGTTTTAGTCAGCCAGATAAGCGAGGAAAGCCTGTTGCCTCGGCTAGCCACGTGGAAGAAATCTGAAGACGTAGCGCAGAAAATTCTCTATTCGATCGAGTGCCAGATGAGGCGTTGTCCGTACACGTTAGGGTTAGGGGAGCCGAATCTCAGCGGCAAACCAAGCCTCAACTACGACGCCGTCTGCAAACCATCGGAGCTTCATTCACTGAGCAAAACGCCACCGGATCAAGCTAATGTCAACAACTACGAGAACCGAACGCTGTTCACAACGCACCAGATCCTAGAATCGTGGATCTACGTCGCTCAGCAGCTTCTAAAACGAATCGAATCGGAAATCGATTCAAACGATTTTGAAAACGCTTCAAGCAATAGTTACATTCTCGAACAGGTATGGAAGCTGTTAACGGAAATCGAAGATCTTCATCTACTAATGGATCCCGACGATTTTCTCCGGTTGAAGAACCAGCTCGACATTAAAACAACCTCCGAGACCGAATCGTTCTGCTTCCGTTCCAAAGCGTTGGTCGAGATCACCAAAGTCTCAAAGGACCTAAGACATAAGGTGCCGTACATTCTGGACGTGGAAGTAGATCCCATGGGAGGACCTAGGATTCAAGAGGCTGCAATGAAGCTTTACCGGAAAAAGCACAACGCCGAGAAGATCCATTTGCTACAAGGCTTACAAGCGATCGAAGCGGCGGTGAAGAAGTTCTACTACTCGTATAAACAGTTGTTGGTGGTAGCAATGGGGAGCGTGGAGGCGAAGGGGAGTCTAGCTTTCGTGACGGTGGATTCAAGTGATTCATTGGCTCAGATCTTCTTGGAACCGACGTATTTTCCGAGCTTGGACGGAGCAAAGACGTTTTTGGGAGATTACTGGAGCCATGAAGGAAGAGGTCGGTAGAGGGATTGACTCGGTGGTGACTCGGTCTTGTTAGTGGGCGGTTTACAGACAGGATTAGGTTGGCGGAATTTCGAAAAGTTTGGAAGTCAAAGTATTAGTAGGACTTTTATTTGGGGATAAGGTCAAAGGTCAATCTTGTTGTATACTAAAATTATTCATGCGTTTCATTCAAAAATTCAATATATGCCTCGCCATTTATTTTATTTATAATTAATTAATTGTTTTTATTAAATTACATTTAATTAATCATTAAAAAAGAAAATTAAAAAATGTTTCCATGTATATCCAGGAGCAGCTCACAGCCTGTTTTGCTTTTAGAAGACAAAGTTTCAACATTTGCGTACGTGATGCTTTTACCCCAATTTTCTTCCTCCCATTACTTGGTCTTGGTGTGAAAAGAATGTTTCAGATAGCCTACAACTTGGCCTTCATCTTATCATATCCCCTTTATATTTATTAATAACACCTTTAAATGATAGTTTAAGGGACTGTTTATCAAACACTTAGTCGATAAACGCTTACCGATAAAATTTAACACTATCATTTACTTGACAGATAAGATTTTAATCCGACATCCTATGCAACAATTTACGAGGTAAGCGCTTACCACGGTAAGAGGAGTCGTTATCACTTATTAGGTAAGGCTCTTGGTCCTTGTCTTGCTCTTACCGAGTAAGATTCTTGATCCTTATTATATTCATCTGATAAGATAATGGAACTTAGTAAGTGTTTAGTTCAGGCAGAACTTTGGTGAACGGCCCTAAGTAAATATTTAAAGAAAATGAAGATATGCATAAATATTTCTAGAAAAAGCAGCAATTTGTCAAAAGAAATAAAGAAAACAATTGGGTATGGATGTTATCAAAACCCACTTCACCCACACAAGTTCCCAACAGATAACTTACAATCCCATGTTACTTCAGGTATTGATATGGCCTAATAAGTAAATGCAATTATTTTTCCTTCTGCACTTTTGCTATATCTACAACAAACCCATTCAAATTTAAGACACACAAACTCGAAAAGCGCGGGGTTTGACACTAGAAGAAGAACTAAATGGAAACTAGAAAAGCAAAGTGTTGAAACCACAATACAGGTTGGTCTTGGTTTTGCTCAATCTGGAAACAGAGTGTGGGAATTATATTGATACAAAAACAGGCTAAATGGTCTTTGCTCAACAATGGTTTTGTGTTGTGAAGACCAGATTACGTGGTTTGATTTGCTGAATGGAAACAGCGATAAAATAGGTGAAGAATACAAGAGTTGGCTAGATGGTGCTAATTAAACAAGCTAAGTGTGAAACTAGAGAAAAAGAAAGAAACTGAAGGTATTATAAGCACAGGGAATCACCAGAACCAGGTATCGCGGCTATCGACAGCCTTCACAGTAGTTGGCACCAACGGCATCCTGCCAAACTCACCCACAAACCTATTCACACACTCTGTCCTTTTGTTGCTATGGCCTCCCAGACTACTGATTCCTGTTGATCCAATCTCGTATATCTTGCCTATAGTTAGACACCAAATGCGTAGTTAATGTTAGTCGTATATAACTTTGACGATAAAACTTAGGGGGTGCTTGGTTGGGGATAATAAGCGGTCAGGAATGAAAATGGAAATTGGTGTTTGGTTTGATATATTAGAATTGGTCATTACCAGATACTGGGTACTGAAGACTGAGTCATTCCTCAATAAATTGGGTGAAATGAAACTCATTCCCCACCATTCCCATTCCCATTTTCATTCCGAACCAAGCGCCTTCTTACAAGGTATTCTTTAATTAAACTACCTTTTGCCCATATAGGAGGGGCACCTGTTGCATTAGCAACCAGGAATGACATTGCAATGTCCTCACAATTCCTGTTTTGATTCAATGAAGCTTGGTGAAATCTTCAAATGTAATGCCATAACTTCTGAAAAAATGGTAAAAATGAACGGTAAAATTGCAAGTAATCAGAAAGGGTACCTATTTGACTTTACATATTCCTTGATGGATGTAGGCATTTCATTAGTGTACAAGCGCAGGTACTTCATATGGAAAAAGGATGCCTTAGAGAGTATCATACTGTATGTACCAGTCCACCAAACTGGCCACCATCCACCATAAACATAGGAACCTTTGTTCTCTTTCTGCATAACGTAAAAAAATAAACTAAATATTTCCATTAACCAAAGCCTTGAGGAGTTGTGGTTCAAAGTTATGAACTTACTGACCCCAAATAAAAGATCAAATGATGACAATTAGAGAACAGGAGTAATTTTTTCTCTTGATAGCAATTGAACTTAGATTAGTAACTTTTAGTTGGAATGATGAAGGTAAGGAATCTTGTTGCATATATATGTTACATCTATCATAAAGAACACTTGTTAGCTAGATAAGATTCTGAAAATTTCTTCAAAGCATAAAATATGTGAAGAGGATAACTTATTCAGACATGCATGAGCATATGTTCCTGCATGCCCGAAGCTAAAATTCAGCAAGATTCCATCCAGAAATTTTAACAGAGCAAGATTCTCAAGGTTTTTAGCAAAAGAACAACACGTAAGGGTATAAATGATGTACTGAAAACATACCGATCGATTAATCAAATGGATGCGAGGTACAAATCCCACCATGGTATCTGGTGCACTTTGCCAAACACTGAAAGCAAACTCTACCGATGAGCAAGGAAATATGATATCGTCATCAATAGAAAAAACAGCATCTGTCCTTGGATTCTTGATTTCTTTAAATCTGTTGTTGAGGCTATCTTCCTTGTTTATATCAAAAGCCAACTCAATATATCGACCATCTCCAGCATTTGATTTAACAGCCTGGTTCAGAAATTTCACAAGAGGATCTGAAGGCAGATTTGGCTCGCTCCATACTATGTGAATAGAGTCCAGTCCAGGGCACGAGGTATAATGAGAAATGGATTGCTTGAGAAGATCATATCGTTTCCATGTATTTATCAAGAGTGTATACCCTTTCCTGTATGATAGAGAATCAGCAAAAGAAGAAAAGTAAGAGCCATACTGACATGGTAGTAAGTGAAATACCATAGAACTCTTGATATTAAAACATTAATAGCTCTAATGTTAGAGGTATTCTAAGTAATCATTAATGTTTTAAATTTCTCGTCTTCTATCACAAAGAAAGAGAGATTTTTTATGCTCACATGTTTCAGACTAAAAATGGTCATGAGTCTGTTTCTATCTAAAAAAGATCAACAGTGATGGTGAAACGAAAGCTTGTGTGAGAATATGTGGAACTCCGTTAGATTACTCTCCAAAAGAGCCCTTGAGAAGAAAGGTAGGTTCCAACATATATTAATAAGAAAGTATCCAAGTCTAGCAGATGTGGACTCTAACACTTTTAAGTGTACATAAAAAAAACTAGCTTACTGTGACATCAATGTTCAAAATGAACATCAGCCGCAAGACGCCAAGCGTAGAATATTAAGTGCACCACGTATCAATCAAGTGATGGATTTAGAAAAAACCTTTAGTACCACATGTACAGAACATGTTAAAAGAGGATTTCCTTAGGCTCACTATCGTGTATGGAATAACATTCAGTGGAAATTATTGTGAAAACAGAAAAAAGGCCACCTTTTTGCAAGTTACAGAAAAGAAAACAAACAGTTTTGTGTACTAATTAAATAACATGAAGTCATGAAGTGTCATCTCACCCTCCAAACACATGAACACACGTATGTAATAACTCTTCAGAAGAGCATGAAGAAAATTTTCCATATCTTCTTAACAGAATTAGCAAATTATTTGTGCTATGTGGAGCACAATGACTCTGACAACTCAACAGCACTGTCACTGGCTTTTGTAGTCTAAATTGCTGAACAAAACTATCTACATTCCCTACACTTCTAATTTGTCTAAAAAAATTATGTCTTGTTCGCTACTGGGAAGTTGCAGAACTAATAAAGTACTGCAGATGACATGAGTAGATTCTAAAAACGGCTTATAGCGGTGCCAGCAGCAGCAATGCTGTGGTCAAATCATCTATACAAAGATAAATTAACGTTCAGTTACTGAATTGGTGATCCTGACCATAATCAAGGGCATAGAACATAGGAAGCAATCTTGGAAGTTAGCCAAATTGGATTTCACACAGCTGGTTATAGACCACAATGGTGGTATAGTAACCGAGTGGTCCTGGCATCACTTTCCAAAATGCGTGCCTTTTCTAAAGTAACTAATACAAGCCTGTCAGTCGCATAAAGATGTTATATTCCATCTAAACCACCCACTGGTATTCATCTAGTCATAACTGTTTGAAAACTACAAAATGATGAAATTTGCATGTCCTAAGAAATGTAAAGAGATATAATAAAGTTACATCTAAGAGTATCAATGATAATAAATTGTCCTTTAGCCATACACAGTACACCTAATGTAAATATATTTCTTTCTTCCAAGTAAGTAGATTCATAATCCCCCAACAACAAGGCAAAAACTAGTACTTCCATGTGCAACTTCTACCTCATCTTTGATAGCTTATCAAAATTCAGGATTATATACATTCGTCCAATTGGGAGAAGCTGTAGGTATTTATTGCAGGTCATCTCGATTCATTAGAAATTGGACAGGTAAGGAAATAACTACGTATTTACAAAATACCGTCTCAATTCATTAGCATGGCATACTCCTCCTGTACGAACCGAGGTTTGAAACCAAACTTCCCCCTTTATGAGGAGGCACCCCTTCTCCCGAAGTTACAGGGCTATTTTTACATTGGATGGTTTGGTGTTTTGATGATCCCTACCTTATTAGAATCTTGTATCATGACACGAGTCCGGTTAAAAACTCTGAGTAGCTTTTCGATGGCTTCCCTTGCATTACCGGGTGTTTTGCTTATGTACAACTGCAAAGTAAGAAACTTCCGTATTTGATTATTCTCAACTCTACAGCGGTGACGATACTGTAGGGGAGGCCCACAGTTCTTTTGGATGTATATAATCCTGAATGTATAAGCATTGCCTCACAACTTAACAAATACTGGAGGAATATATCACCTAAGTCCCTACAGACCTCTAATTAGGTGATAACATATTGTTCTATAAACCTTAATTAACTTAAAACCGCCTCAACTCCTAATCCAGTTTTCAATTTCTGCATCAACAATTTAGCTCCAGTTGTACGTGTAAACAATTGTCAAAGAAAGATAAAACTACTTTTATATAACATTTCATGATACGTGACTTTGTAATGCAGATTGGCTTTGGGAAGTAAAACACACTTCAGTAAAAGCTAAAGAATTTGGGAAATGCATTGCAATATTCTTTTGCATCGAGACTGGTAAAAAATCCAGTAATTGATGATGCAACTAAGCAGAATTAGAAGACAAACACACACAGAAAGGAACAACAGTCATGATTCAACTCAATGGAAAATAGTAAAATTTCCAAATATAGCTCGAGACCGACCACTAGAGCAATTAATGCAGATGACAAGTTGATACCATTGGGCCCTCACAAATGATAGTTTCATTGGAAGATTCAAGTTGCAATTTTGGGTTACTTGGTGTATTATGAAATTCATACGTTCTTATGTAAAGTTCACATGTTATGCTTGATTCTTTTGGATGGTGAGATCTCCTTTCAATTGGTAGTGTTCAGTTGTTTATGGATCTCTCCTATATCATATTTGTACTGTATTTCAGTGCAAATTGAAGTAGTGTATTGTATATAGATATACCATTTTGCCAAAAGAAAAAGCAAATTGTTGAGTAATTAAGACCTCGAAGTTCGATCAAGACGGGGAACACTCTGTTGCCCCCATCCCAAAAACGATGGCATACGGCTCGCGAGCAAGGTCAATGTAAAGACAAAGCAACAAAATAGTAACAGCTTGATCTTGAGTGAGCCAGCGGCCGAGATCGCTGCTTGCCGGAACTTCTGCGCCGTCCGACGGCTAATTAAACTTGTCCTGGCCACCATTGATTTAGTTCAGAAGACCTGATTTCCGATCCGAGCTCAGATCAATCACTTTCTTACACCAATGTTTAACGTTGACTCCCCACCTCCCTCCCTGCCTCCACCTCCTCTCTCTAGATATCCATATTAGGTGTCTCCTGTCTCTCTAGATTGGACGTTGGCGACGGTTGATTGGCGGCGGAGATGGGCGGAGATGGTGATGATTCGGTTGATGTCTGTGTTGTGGATTCCGTTAGGAGCGGAGAAGGGCACAGATCTTATGGGGTGTGTAACAGGAACAGCCTCAGTCAAAGGGTTGACCTATTTAGTATCGTACTCATTTGACAAGGATGTCCCTACCAAGTCAGCCATCAGCCCATCACTTTTGTGAGGATATTCTTGTAAAAACATTGTTTCCGTTGTTAGCTCAACCGACAATAAGATCACTTGACTCGTAATAAGATTTAGATCTTTAAGAATTTTCTTTAAAAGTCAGTGGTTTCGAGAAGACCGTTAAAGATCACATTAAACTGTTTTCCAAGACCCATGAGATTAGTCGAGATACGTGCAAACTAGATCTGACACTCACAGTTAAAAAATGGTCTTTACGCTCGGTTGAGGGAAATTAGAAGCCGATACAAGAGATGAGTGATGAACAAAGGATTAGATGTGATGACCAAATACCTTAATAAAAATCGAAGAGAAAGCAAGATTAGGTGTTCATTTGTGAGGATCTACTAAGAAACTGAATGTAAGATGAAGCTATTTTTTAGGGTGTTTATGAGTTGGAATCTAATTGCTTTTGTTGGATTTGATCCAATTCAATTATCCAACGGATGTTGGATTTTGTCATTCCATCCAATCCAATCCAATTAACATTGGACATCTGATGTAATTCAATCTAATGAATGATTGGATCGGATCGATCCCATCTATTAGATATAACTATTGGTAATTCATTGAATCGCACCGGATCCATCCAATATTTTGTTACAAAATTCAACCAAATAATGCACCATTTCAACCAAATATTCATATATTTTATTAATTTATCAGAAAACACTATGTATAAATATAAACTAAAAAATGATTTTGTAAAATGTTAATAATTATATACAATTTTTAATTGGATGGTAGTTGGATGGGTATATGATTGGATCAGTTCGGTTTTATTCGATTTTTTGAACTACCATCCAATAACCGACCGATCCAATTATAATTGGACATCCATTTATAATTGGATCGGATAGTTTTTTTATACACCCATGCTATTTTTATTAAAGGGTCGTTTACCAAATGCTTATCTGGATAATTGTGCGCCGATAAAAATCAATATCATCACTTACTTACCGGGTAAGATTTTAATCCAACAAAATGATATCAAATGCAACAATTTACTCGGTAAGCATTAACCGTGGTAAGAGTCATCGCTTTCACTTACCGGGTAAAACTCTCGGTACTTGTTTTTGCCTTTTACCGGGTAAGATTCTTGATACTTACCATATTTATCCAGTAAAATAAAGTTACTTGATAAACGTTTGGTAAACGGTCCCTAAACTATTTGTTTTAGATAGCTAATTTTACATTGATTGCTTGGTTTGATTTGGTTGAATCGTAGCCTTATAGGCAGCAACTGCCATTGTGACTAGGGGTGTAAATGATGCGAGTCGAGCTCGAGTATCACTATATTCGACTTGAACTCGAAACCCGATTTCCAAACTTGAACTTGACTCGAAAACTCGTGAGTAGTAAAAGTCAAAGCTCGACTCGAACTCGATAACTATTTCTGAAGTTCGAACTTAAACTCGAACTTGAATCAAGCTCGAACTGCAACTCAAATCAAGCTTGAATTCAAACTCGAACCAAGCTCACCCATTGAAATTTATGAAATTTTACAGTTGTTCTCTTATAAATTCTAAAACTTAAAAATGTTCTCTTAGTTTTTTTATAAAACTAAAGGGATTAAATTCAAACTTTATCATCTGTTCTCCCTTCATTTACCATCTCTCTTGCAATATGAGACAATTTCACTAACATTCTTTTATAGCTTTTTTTTGTCTTTTTTAATTGTGATTTTAATAAAAATAATTGATTAATTTTTGTAATTAAAAAATGCATAATTTTGTTTAAATATTTTATTATTTATATTTTATAAATTTTATCATAAAAACTGATTATATTCTAAAACTAATTATATATAAAATAATCGAGTATCTCACGAGCTTTTCGAGTCGAGTATTGGGTAGTTTGACTCAGCTCATTAATATGTCGCGTTGAGCTCGAGTTTGAACCGAGCCTATTCAAGTCAAGTGTTGACCGAGTCGATCTTGAGTGGCTCAAGAGTTGTCTCGTATCGTTTACACACCCCTAATTATGATAAATGCCTTGTCCTTTGGTGGTGTTGGTGTACAATTTGGTATGCCTTATATTGAAGCCTTGTGTAGCTTCGACAAGACAAAATATCATTATAGTCAGGGGCGGATGCAATGTTAAAAAGGAGGGGGGAAGTGATCCCAGTCTAAAACTCAAAAAAAAATATAGATTAAAATTTAGGTTTTACATGATTTACCTTTCACTTCCCCCATTACATTTTTGCACGGCCCCCAACCCCAATCGAAACTGTTACTCTAACCAAAAAATTCTATTGAAATTAATCAAAAAAAACCAAAAAAATTATTCGAAATCGATAAAAACACTAAAAAATCCATCGAAATCAACCAAAAAAACTTTAAAATTTCCTCAAAAACGTTGTAATTAGGTTAAAAACACATCAGACGATTTTACGGTATTTAGTATATCTTAAAGGTGACCCCACTGAACAAAAATCTTGAATCCACCACTGATTATAGTGGTGGTCGAAATAAGGTTTGGTGAAATGAGTTCGAACCATGTTCAAATCAAGGTTTGCTTTGAACTTGGATAACATGTAATTTAATTAAAAACGATAAAAAAAATATTAAAAGTACTTTAAACAGGTTTTAAAACATGGAAAAGTATGAGAAAATCCAACATTTTTTTAAATCTTGAATGCTTTAGTTTATAAATTATATTTTTAAATGAAAAAATCATTAAACTTTTTTATTTTAAATGATTAAGTTTGTGAATTACTTTTTTTTTAATAAGAAAATCATTAAACTTTCAAAATTTTAAATAATTAAGACTTTTAAATTTTAAAAAAAAAATCATCAAACTTCTACTAATCGATTAATGTAATTTTTTTAGGTTAAAAGAATATAAGCTACCGATTTGAAAAAATATAATGGTTTATTTATCATAAAAATGTTTATGAACTTAATCTATCAAAATGAAAAAAATTAATGGTTTTTTCATTCAAAAAACAGTTTAAGAACTACAAAATTCAAAATAAAAAAGTTTATTGAAATTTTTTAAACTTTTCTCTTGAAACAAAATATAAATTACAAATCATAATTTGTAAAATTAATATTTTATAATCTATTATTCATAAGTAATTATAATAATTACTAGATAATAAAAGATAATCATAAATGAAATCTTAATTATTTGGAATAACCTTTATGAAAACAGGTTTTAAAGATGCTGAAACCCACAAAATCCACGTCCAAAATCACAAACTTTTTAATGAAAGACGTTTTGGTAAATTTTATTTTACCAAGAGGCTGATTACTTAAATACTTATTCGGTAAGTGCTTAACAATGTCAATCAACACTATAATTTATTTTGATGCAGAAGATTTTAGTACATCAAAACGTATCGAATGCAATAATTTACCGGGTAAGCGTTTACCTGAGTAAGAATCGTCATCTTCACTTACCAGGTAAGACTCTCCATCATTCTCATCGCTCTTATCCAGTAAGATTTTTTATTCTTGTCATATTCATCCGATGAGAAAATTTATCTGATAACCACCTATCAAATAAGCGTTTAGTAAACGGCCCCTAATAATTTATTGATTCAATATAAATATATATTTGTTAAGACTTGATCAAAATATTATTGACTTAATTTATTAAGCCACTTGGATTGGTTTTTTCCATATTAAGTTATATTTTTTAGATCTATGGAGTGGAACTTCCAAACCAAGTCTCTTTTTATACCATGAAAATCAAGTTGTTTTTTTCTTTCTAAACATGTGTCTCTCATTAAAAAAAAAAAAAAAAAATTCTTTAATCTATGAGAAAACTTTTTTAAACAATAATTTTCTTAATTTATAAAGCAGATCGTATGATCCCATATTGGTTGGGGAGGGGAACAAAGGTTCCATTATAGGAACTGATACCTCCTCTACGAGATATAAAACCGTGAGCCCAGGTGTGTGGATAAAACGGACAATATCTGATACAATTAGTCTAAGGTGTTGCTCAAATTAATCCACGTAAACAATTTTATCCATATAAAACTTAAATGAAAAATTTACCAAACAGGCCCTTAGATGAGCTCACTCAAGTCCCAACACATAGTCCTTCCTTTTGGGTGGACACACCTAGCCAAATTGTCAACGTCCCTTGGCTATGGACGGAACTATTACAGGGCATACGATGGCACGTGTCACTGTATTATTCCTTTTTTAAAGGGTAAAAAAATTTAGGTTCGTGAAAGGTGCAACCGTTTTAATTTGTTGTGTGTCATCATATGTATTTTGAAACTACAATGAAAACAAGTTTTATTTGGTAAAGTTGGTTTGCAAGACTTTTATTCCACCCTAGACCCAAGTTCGAATCTTGTTAGTGTCATTTTTTTAGTCAAGTGATGTCACCGTTTGAAAAAAATTTCATATATTTGTTACCGTTTGAAAAATATTATCTGTATTTTTTTTTCTTATAGTCAAATGATATCATCGTTTGAAAAAAATTCTAGACCCGTCCCTACACTTGTCACGTGAGTTTAATTTTATTTCACACGCTAGCAAAATACATTTGGTGTAAAAACGGTAAACATGTATCATGCATTAACACCTTCTTAATCACAAAAAAAAAATACATAAATTTAATTGCGTATGCAAAATACAATTGGTATGCTAATAGTGTAAAACTGTAAACATGTATTATGTATTAGGCGAAAGATCATATATGAAGGAAAGTTATTATAAAAAGCGTAAGAAGAGTCTGAATCCTTGATCACTTTTTCTTGATGTCCGTCAATGAATTACGTTTTAGAAGAGAATTGATCTAATACATCTCGTTGCACTTCATTAGTGTTGATATTCAATTATGATTGATTTAAGGGTGTAAATCTTTTCTTACGTTTCTCATCATAACTTTTTTTTTTCTCACCGGAACCCAACCCTCTTGCATTAACATACAAATACTAAAAACATGCATACACATGCATCCATTCAAAATTGCATGAACTCGTGTGATCAGATACGTCTTGGCATGTGTTTGAACTTAACACTCGTACAGTCACAAATTTTCACTTTGGGGCATTTGGTTCGCGGTATTCAAAGGATTTGAAAATGATTAATTTTTTTGACCAAATTCTATTTCTTTTGTTCGGTTCACATTTTTTAAAATGAAGAAATCTTTTTAAATTTCACAAATCAATGAATTCATCATTTCTTAACATAAGTGAAAGAATTGAATTTCATTCATTCAGATCCAATTTAACCAACATCGCCCGCTCTTTTGCCCCTACCCCATCACCACTACTGTCGCCTTCGTAACCGACCACCCCCACCTACCTTGACCCCAACCCATCACCATGTAAACAATGTTGTGGTCACACTTATCATCCCCACCCTTTCATCCACCAACACCTACCCACATGGGGTGCAAGGATGGATGGCGTGAGGTGACAGGGTGCTAAGGGGCAATGTGAGTGGTAGGCCGGGGGAGGGCTGAGATAGGGTGGGATGGTGGATACCTCATTAATACCATTAGAGATTTCATTTTAATTCCTACCGACGGAATGTTTGGTCAAAATTTATTTCAATTTTTTTAAAGTCAAATTACTTTGATATATTTCATATCCACTAATTTTAGTTATGTAAACCGACCCCGTAAGTAGTTAAACATTTTATTAAACACTCACAATCAGGGGCGTACATGCAAAAAAAAAAAAACCTCAAGAAAAATATAAATATTTCTTATGAGTTTATATTTTATTTACTTTAGATCCTTATCTTTTGGCCTTCATGCTCTCAAGTAGGAAAGGAAACGGAGCGGATATTAGGCGAGTAATGCATCCTACGTCTTTGACCCGGACCCCATTTAATCCCTCCATCCCTGACCCAGCCCTGGTTAATCCTTGTCTTCGGGGGGATGGATCCCCGGCAAATTCGGGTAACCCATCAGGTACTCGTTTAGTTTAACATAACAATGAAAACAAACGTAATTTAAATTTATAATAAATCGTCATTATATTAACTATCAATCTAGAAAATCCAATATATTTGTCATTTATTACTAAAAATCTTTACATACATATATATATATATATTTATTTATGCACACTATATACATATATTTTACGAAAAAAATAAGTTATTTTAAATAAACAATCTCGAACACCCCCTTAATCATCAAAAATCAACCCAAATCTAAAATCTATTAACCAAAAATCAACTCAAATCCAAACTATAATCACCAAAAACTCAAGAGTGATCAACTCAAACCCAAAATATAATAACCAATACTAAGAAAAAGAAACGAACGATTGATTAATTGGAAACTTCCTGGTTAAAAATTAACATCACACGTCTCGATTGAATTGATCGTAGGTGATCTGATGGGTGTCCCCTTTCTCTGGTTGCTTGGTAATCGCAGATGTTGCTTTCGTATTTCACTCTGGTTGCTTTAAGTGGATTTTCAGAATTAGGTTAGGAGCGACCCCAAGCCGTTATCCATTTTCCCATCACCACCACTTCAGTTTGGTTGCTTGCTTTTGGTGGGTTTTTCATCTATGTAATGGTTTTGTTTGTTCTTCTTTTTGATACAATGTGGTTGCCTTTAACTACAGTCTACAGGTGAGTGTTTCGGGCAAACAATTGTACGAGGGTTTTGAGGACAGAGAAAAGGGAATAGAAGAGCAGCGATTGGTTCCGATTTGGTGGAGGAGAACGACGATTATGGTGTTTGTCGAAGATGGGTTCCGATTTGGTGGAGGCGAACGATGGTGGTAAGGTTTAATTTGGTGGTGGAGAACGATGGTGGTGAGCTTCGTCGGAGATGGGTTCAGGTTTGATGAAATAGCGAAGATGGATTTCGTGTCTGTATATATTTTAGTTTTTTAATTACAAATTATAAATGGTGAAAAGACGAATACGTCCCTGGGTTGATGGATGAGAATTAATAGTGTTAGAATAAAGGATCTAACTTGCATTGAGATGCAAACCATAAGGATGTTCAGTGTAATTGTTTTGGAATATAGATGGGATCCAAATAGAGTGTAATTTACTCTATAATTTAAAATACAAATCTTGTTAAAAATTATGGTTTTCGATTGTTTGGATTCTATTGAAAGTCGTGTAATACTTTCAGATTGAAGTATTTTGATGGTACAATCGAAATTTTAATCGGATAAAATTCAGTAATTTTTGAATAGAGGATCAATTGTTATGAATCTGTGTACCTTCGAAAATCAAATGACCAATACGAAAAATGAATTCAAAAACTGTCAAATGACAGTTTCAAAACCCTAAACCGGGTTTAAAATTTCAAATTCGACCCTAGCCAGGAGCTCTGCCCCTTGGACCCCGCCACCGGGAGCGCTGCCTCCGGGCACCCCATCGTTTAGGGACTTCGCCCCTAAATCAAAATAAACTCAAACAAGTTTATATTTTGCACTTTTCTTACTTGTTTGGTATTTATAATGATTACATTGATTAACAAATTAACCGATATTAATGATTCACAAATCTTACATACATATGCGTCTGAAGTTTAGAAAATGGGTCATAGCAGATTTGGAGACAAATTCCTTACGTCCAAAATCAAAACGAAATCTTCCCAAATGAGATTTTATGAATGGAGAATTCTAGAAAAGGTGTTATAAATAATATAATTTAGAGTATTCTAAAAATTCGTTTTGTAGTATTGGGATATGGGGCGGTGTGAGTCATCATCAAACAGTCGCAACACAGGATAACGTTCCTTCTTTGACACGTGTGTGGCTGTCATTTTGCCAGCTAGGTGTATTCTATTTTTATGGAGAGGGTAACCGACCAAAAGCGACGTCGTTGTCCATTTGCAGTGACAAAAAACCTCACGCACCATTATTACGAACTGGACGGTGATAGAATATACAGCCACCATACCCCACCATTTCTTCCTATTTATAACCACCACACTCACTCCCACCACCACACTCACTATCGACGCCGCTTTCACCACGTAAAGAAACTGATTTTCCAGTCAGAAAACAACAATGGAGGGAAAGGAAGAGGATGTTAGATTAGGAGCTAACAAGTTCCGTGAAAGACAGCCCATCGGAACGGCGGCGCAGGTGCCAGATAAGGATTACCAAGAACCACCACCGGCACCGTTTTTTGAGCCATCGGAGCTCTCTTCCTGGTCTTTTTACAGAGCTGGAATCGCCGAATTCATCGCTACCTTTCTGTTTCTATACGTCACTGTTTTAACAGTCATGGGAGTCTCCAAGTCGCCGACCAAATGCTCCACCGTCGGTATCCAAGGCATCGCCTGGGCCTTCGGCGGCATGATCTTCGCACTCGTTTATTGCACCGCCGGAATCTCAGGTATCTTACACAGTCAGCACCTTATACTTTCAAATAAAAGAAAAATAAGTTATCTTTATCAATGATCTAGATTTGTTAACTGAGAATATTAATTACAGGTGGACATATTAATCCGGCGGTCACATTTGGGTTGTTTCTTGCCAGAAAGTTGTCGTTGACAAGGACGTTGTACTACATGGTGATGCAGTGCCTCGGTGCAATCTGTGGTGCCGGTGTGGTTAGAGGGTTCGAAGGAGGCAACCAGTATAAGTTAAACGGAGGTGGCGCCAACGTGATTGCTCACGGTTACACCAAAGGTGACGGCCTCGGTGCTGAAATAATAGGCACATTTGTTCTCGTTTACACTGTTTTTTCAGCCACCGACGCCAAACGCAGCGCCCGTGACTCTCATGTTCCGGTACGAACAAGTTCAATTCCAGTCCCTAATTAATTAGTAATTACCATCTTTCATTTAATTAAGAAGACGGGTTTTGTGTGATATTTCAGATATTGGCGCCGTTGCCAATTGGATTTGCTGTGTTTCTGGTTCACTTGGCCACTATTCCTATCACCGGAACCGGAATTAACCCAGCAAGGAGTTTGGGAGCTGCCATCATTTACAACAAGGAACACGCATGGAATGATCACGTAAGCCTTTGAGACATATATATATATATATATTGATATAAAAGATTGGTTGTTATAATGAATTGTGTATATATATATGCAGTGGGTGTTCTGGGTAGGACCATTCATTGGGGCAGCATTAGCAGCTTTGTATCATCAAGTCGTGATCAGAGCCATCCCATTCAAGAACAAGTGATGGAATTGAATGTATGAATGTATGTAGGTGGATTCTGTAATGATTTCATAAGAATCCATTTGAAGTGGAGGGCCCTCATCCAAGTATTTTGTGGGCTTTTCTTGTACTTGCAAAGTTGCAATCAACTTCCCATTTTCAAGCATTCCATCTCTATCTTTGAGGCTTGGTTTAAATGTGACGAAACTAATTTGATCAATCGAGAGAATTAAGGTCTGTTTGTTAATAACTTTAACTAGTTTAACTCTATTAGATATATATGAGTATTTGGTAGTGACTTAATGATACAAAAATAACTTATTCAATAAGTTTTATGTAGAAAACCATGTTTTTTTTAAACTTGTCCGTTCTAATTAAAAACATTCTCTTTTCACTTTCATAAACAAAAATCTTTCTAATCTATATAGAGAAATTTATCCATACATGATCTTAATCAAAAACCAACTCGTCCCTTAATACGTGACCAAACAAACCTACACAAAACGATCACAAAGTGACCATTTCTTAGAAGTTGGGCAACTATTGTTGGATATGGGTTCAAATTGATGTTTTAAAGATGATTTATTTTCATCCAAAAAGTAAGCCTCATAGGTTAGGGACGAAATGGGGAATTAACATCAAAGATTAAACTAGAGGTGGACATGTAAGATTGCAAACTAGTCATATTCAACTGATTTGAACCTCGAACGTTATATTTTGACCGGTTAAATAAATATCAGTTAAGGATAACTTGTAATTAACAGGTCTATAATAGATACGATTTTTAAACGATCGGTAACCGATTATTAATAACCTATATTGCCGATCAATGTTACTTACATATTTTAGGTTAGGGACCAAGAGTCCAAGACTATTACCATGTAATAGATTAGTGTTGACTCAAATCATTTAAAATATGTTTTTAATAATTTCTCTTAAATAAAGAACAAAAAATTAAAATCTCTATTTTTTTAAAAGAAAATTATTGGAATTATATGTTTATCTTGTATTTGATTATGTTTATTTGCAGTTAGTTATACGAATTCAAAAATAAAGCTTTAATAAATTGTACTTACGTACATTTTACTTGTAATCTTAAATTTTAAGTAATATGCATTAATAAATCTATACTATATTATAAAGCATTTGGCTAAAACTCTTAAAAACTCTTAAACTCTTAAAACTCTTAAACTCGTTCATCCCTATCCGATTTCATCCCATATCTGAATTCGTGTAACTAACTGCAAATAAACACAATCAAATACAGGATAAACATCTCATTTTAAATATAAAAAATCTAAAATATAATTAGTATAATCATTAAATTCT